TATGAAGAGACACCACAGCCAAGCATTTAGCTGCTTACAGTTTCGGGTCAGTCCAGCAGCAGGCAGGTAGGGCAGAGGAGCAGTAGCTAAGAGTTTATATCTTGTCACTCTGATCCAAAAGTAAAAGGGAGAGAGGGAGAGGGAGAGAGAGAGAGAGAGAGAGAGAGAGAGAGAGAGAGGAAGAGAGAGGAAGAGAGAGCAAAAGAATGAACACTAACTGGACCAGTGCGGGCTTTTAAAACTGCAAAGCCCAGATCTAAAGACAATGCCACACCTTTTAATCCTTACAAAAGGTTTCCACCAACTATTGACAGGGTGTTATTCCATTGGCTCACTTTAAGAGCTAACCACGCCCACCCTAGCCACTTTGGACCTCCCCCCGCCGCCATCTCTCTCTCTCTCTCTCTCTCTCTCTGGTGTGTGTATGTGTGTGGGTGTGGGTGCGTGCGCGCCCGCCCGTGTGTGTATGTATGTGTGTGTATTCGTCTTGCATGTACCTGTGTCTTTGTTTTCTCTCCTTTAAGCAATAAATGTCTCCCTCTTCTTTAAATAATACTATGTCCTATGAGCCTTTTATCCGTCGTAACCGCCCGCCTGACTCCCCCGCCATGCACGGCCATCCTTGCCGGACTCCGTGAGCCGCCCGGGACTTTCCATCATCATATTTATCATAAAAGAACAAAACAGGGCTCATTCAAACCTACGTGCCTATGGGGTGGGGGTCATTCTCATTCCAACCACACCTGACTTCCTGCTTCTCTTACCACTGTGAGATCCCTCTCAGCCTGTGCCAGCTTCTCCACGTGGGTGCCAGCTGCCACAATGAAGCAGATAAACCTCTTGCCTTCATAAATTCCCCAGTCTCAGATGTTATTCTGGGGGAGAGGGACAGAATGCCCCCTTGACAAGTACTTTACCACTGATTTCAACCCCTAGTCCAGATATTCTGTTATGACAACACAGACAGATGACCAGAGGAGCCTAACACTGGGCCAGCCTTGCAGGACAAAGAGGGCTTAGGTGAAAGGGTTAGGGGGGAGGATAGACACTGGACCGCCTAGGAAATGAGGACAAGGAATCCAGTACATGCTTTTGTGGGTTTTTTTTAACATGTATTTGTTTGTGTATATTTGTGTACACACGCATATGTGTATAACTGTATTCAGTATCACTCTGTCAAGAGTCACACCTTGTTGGCTAGTCACTCCAGCCGGGCAGCAGGAGGGCTTGACCTGCGTGATCACAGACTCCTGAGTCCACTCACTGAGTAGTTCAATCCAGCCCGGAGTGCCTTTTCTTTCGGTCTCTCCAGTGCCAGGATTACAGGCATGTGCCATTATGCCCTACTCTCCATTTTATTTTTTTATTCTAGACGATCTGATACTGTATTATATATTAATATCCCTCTTCTGCTTTGGGATATAAGCTGTCTGAGGAGACAGACTCATTCCCTTCTCCAGCAGCTAGTAAGTTCTTCATAAACATTCGTTGCCTACGTGTAACTGACAATCTCGTTTATTCCTCAAAACTCTATTAACCAAATTGTTTCCCCAGAACCCACACGAAGATGGAAGGAGGAAAGGGACTCCACAAATCTGTCCTCTGATCTCCATGTGCCGGGCACATCCCGCACAGCAGTCCCAAACACACTCTCACAAAGTAGAACATAATTAAACATTTTAAATTATATAGAAGCAGCAAGAGGCTAAGCGGTTAAAAACACTCGCTGTGCAAGCCTGGTACGTGAGTTCTCTCCCTCGGACCCACATGGAAAGAGAATGCTCTCTGATCTCCACATACGCGCTTGGCAAGTGTGGCCCCTCATAAATAAATACAATTTTTTTTCCAACGTTGCAAAAAGGCAGCTAGAACGGCCTGGTCCCGCCAGGACAGCGTGACCCGGAACAACCCCGGGTTTGGCGGCAGGCACGAGAACGTGCCGGGCTCAGCATGGGGGACGGACGGAGCGTGGGAGATTACATAACACGCCGGCTCCGGAGCTCTCTCTCCCCGCTCCAGATTACAGCCAGGACCGCGAGCGAACTCAGGAGGAGGTCGCCGAGCAGAATACGCAAATGCGCAGGCGCGTGGCAGGGGCGGCGCAGGTCCCGGCGACTCGCGCCCCTCTGATTGGCTGGCGGGAGCGTGCGTCAGTCTGGCGTCAGCCTGGCGTCATGGGGCGGGGGCGGGGAAACGCGCGGAAGGGGCGTGTCCCGTTGCCCTGAGGGCCTGCGGATTGGCTGAGAGGAGCAGAAGCCCTCCCGCCGGGCCGGCCTGAGGGCGGTGCCTCAGGCCCCGGTACCGGCGTCGCCTACCGGCTTCAGCCAGACGATCATGGCAGCTCGGACCGGTCAGAGGGCTCTGGCCAGGGTGGCGTCGGGGTGCCGTCCGAAGTCGACCACCGTGGCGGAAGCCCCGGCGCGGGGACCTGCGCGCAATGTCAGGTAGCGAGCGGAGGTTTTCTGGGCGGGTGGCCGGCGCGAGGCGGGGCTGTGGCCTGGGCGATGATCGTAGGCTCGGCGCGGGGCTCCGGCGGAGCCCGCAGACGGCCGGCCCGCGTGCATCTCGTGTTTTCGGGGTGAGTCAGCGACGAGTTGCTGCTCGGCCGCCCGCTCCCGCCCTTCCGGTCTCCTGGCGGGCGATGGCCCGCGGCGGCCTCCGGTTCCCGGGGCCCGGCAGACGCTGTCTCACTCGCCGCCGAGTTCTTTGACCCCAGCCACTCGGCCCTCGCAGAATGAAACGCAGCCAACACAGAGGACCTGTTGTGTTTTGCTTTTCACTGCACTCTGAGGTCCTGTAACCTTGAAGATGGCTCGGCCTCCAGTGGAGATGAATGTCGAGACGTGAAGGGTAGTGTAAGTTTGGCACGCAGTTTTCTGTTACGAATGATAGTGCAATACTAGTCTCAAGAATTAAAATTCGTTGGGCGTGGTGGCTCAAACCTGTAATCCTGGCCGCGAAGCAAAGGTAGGAGGAATGCTGTGAGTTCGAGGCCACCTTAAGCTACAAAGTGAGCCCCTGACTCAAGACCACAAAGCAAAATTAGTATTTGAAATGAATTATTTAAGCGTGTACGTTACAGAGGAGAAGCACAAATCTTGCTGAGCTCCAGGACTTTGAAGTTGAATGAAGACTTTAAAATAGCAACAAAGAGGCGGGGCCTAGTGCTTGAGAGGCCACCCTGGTCTGCCTAGCTAGCTAGTTCCAGATCAGCCAGAGCTACAGGGTGAGATCCTGCCTCAAAAACAAACAAAAACTGCCGGGCGATGGTGGCGCTCCCAGCACCCGTGAGACAGAGGCAGGCGGATCTCCGTGAGTTCGAGACCATCCTGGTCTACAGAATGAGTTCCAAAACAGCTAGAACTGTTACACAGAGCGACCCTGTCTCGAAAAAACAAAAACAGAAACAAAAGTGCAAAACAAAAAGTAAGAACAATGCTCCACCTCCAAACTAAAGTGAAATCAGATAGCTTCTTCTCAACAGGTAGCTGTCCGAGAGGGATGTAATCTCTTCATACTTGAGACCTGCTTATATTACTCCTTAGGTGCCCGTTTGCTCCCTGTGGTCTGACGCTTGTGCTCAGGAAGTCCAAATCAGCCTGGAAAATAATAAAGAGACTGGATCTCAAAAACAAAGAAACAAAACAAAAAAGAAAACAGAAATGACTTGAGAATACATCAGCTTCTGTGCTGCCCTTTGTTATAATAGGTTATTTGAAAGCGTGGCTTTGGAATGTCAGTGGTAAAACGTGTGTTTGCCACGTGTTTCAGTATTCATTTATTGGTTTAATTGCGTAAGCAGCTAATTGTTTGGCTCGCCATCTTGTAATGGTCAGGTGAATGGGAGAGGTGCTAGAGCCAGCCCTGGGGCTGTGAACATGTTCACCAGCTCTACCTCTATATCCCCAGCCCTTAGCAGGGTGTGAAAACAGATGTGTGATCCAGGACGCTGTAACCAAGGCAGGACACTGGGCAGGAGATCTGTTCCTTGTTTTAAACACACACTCTGGATTTTGAGCTCAAGCCTAACCTGGTCTACACAGAGTGAGTCTCTGCCTCAGAAACAAAAGTAACACAAGGAAAGAGGCAGAGGCAGGTGGATCTCTGCTAGTTCAGGGCCAGCCTGGTGTACATGGAAGTTCCATGCTAGTCAGGACCACGTAGAGAAAATAAACAACTAGGCATCTTGCATACTAGTTTTTTGTTGTTGTTTTTTTTTGTTGTTGTTCTTTTTGTTGTTGTTGGTTTTGGTTCTCTTTTTTTGGCCATATACTAATTTGGTACATATTTTAAGTTATTTTTGTAAGTTTTCATTATCAAAATTTTATTTGTTATTTATGTATTTATTGAGACAGGTTCTTACTATGTATCTCTCTCTGACTGTCCTGGAACTCAACTTTGTAGGTCAGACTGGCCTTGAACTCACAAAGATCCAACTGCCTCTGCCCCTGATTGCTGGAATTGAGGGTGTATGCCACAGCTTTGTCAACTTTTTATTAATTACTGTGTGTGTTAGTGTGGGTATACATTATGTTGCAGTATGGTGTGTGTACCTGGAGAAGTCACAGGACAACTTTTGGGAGCCAGTTCTCTCACCGTGGGTCACTGGGAGCAAATCAGGTCACCAGGCTTGGTGACAAGTACCTTTACTTGCTGAGTCATCTCTGTGACCCCCCCCATAGAAAAGAGGCTAGAGGGCTGGAGAGATGGCTCAGTGGTTAAGAGCACTGGCTGCTCTTCCAAAGGTCCTGAGTTCAATTCCCAGCACCCACATGGTACATAGCCATCTATATTGAGATCTGGTGCCCTCTTCTGGCCTGCAAGCATACATGGAAAGAATGGTGTATACATAATAAATAAATATATCTTAACATGTCCATTTCACAAAACAACAGTAACAGGCTCCATGCTAAGGCCTGTGACCTCCCAGATTCACAGGACAGGCGTGAATGTCTTCCTGGGTCATGGGCCTCAAATCCAGCCAGGAAAACAGTCCCTTTCCCGTGCAGTAGTCATACCAGTAGTACACCATTGAGCTCAGCCCGCCTGCTAAGCTGTAAGGACCTGATCCATAGCAACCTGCCTTAGTGCCTCCTGGACTGTGGAAGCTTGCCACCAGAGAGAGGAAGCTCCCAGCTCAGTTCCGGCTTGATTTCTCTATTTCTTGCAACCAGGTAGTTTCCTGCTTTGGGGGGTGTGTGTGCGTGTATGTGTGTGTGTGTGTGTGAGAGAGAGAGAAAGAGAGAGAGAGAGAGAGAGAGAGAGAGAGAGAGAGAGAGAGAAAGAAAGCAAGCAAGAGCACCCGAGCAAGCTCCTGGGGCGTGTGTGGGGAGGAGAGGGCGAGTGAGCAAGCTCCTGGGGCTTCCCTTTAAGTGTGGAGGAACACAGCGTGCTATCTGCATCTGACTTCTATGCGGATTCTTGAGAACTGAGGTCCTCATGTTTTCATTGCAGGAGCTTGACCCACTGGGCCATCTCCTCAGCCCACAGTATTTAATACTGTCCTCTGGCCTGTTACGCTGCTCCTACAGCGTTGGTCTTTGCTAAGTGTGTTTAGTCTGAGACAGACTCTCATGTCGTCCAGGCAGACCTCAGACTCTCTGTAGCCTTGGATGACTTTAAGTCCTTGATCCTCCCTGGTGGTGGAATTACCAAGTGTCTGCCCCTGAACCTGGGTGCTTGTTAGTTGGCTACACAGAGTCTGCCTGTGTCTGGCCTCCAGGAATTCACTGTGAGGAAACCAGACTGTCTTTGAAGTCTTGTTCATCCTCCTGCCTCTCTCTGCTGGGATTGCAGGCGTGTTCTGCTGTGCCCGGCTGTCTTTCAGTTTCGGGATATTGCTCAACTCTCTGCCTGGAATCCCCGCCCCATTTAGTTACATTATTTACATATAAGTGAGTGTGTTTCTCTATTCATAAGTATATATATTTTACCATCGAGCTATAGCCCCAAGACATTTTTATTTTGAGACAGACTTTCACTAAGTTTCCCAGTCTGGCCTTGAACTCAAGATCTTGCCTTACCTAGTGCCTGTGATTGCAGACCTGTACACTAAGCACAGCCCTACTTATTACGTGGCCACTAAAACAATTCCAAGGTTTCCAGGTACACCTTATCTGAAGATTTTGGTCATAACTCCACGCCCATTTGTTTTTAGCACTCTAAACAACCACGTGGTACTCTGCTTGTGTCTGTGATGTCTGGTGAGTGTGTGAGGTCAGAGGGCAGTGTGTGGGGTCAGAGGGCAGTGTGGTGGAGTTGACTCTCTCCCTTTGCCTTTAGGGCTTTGGGATTGTCAGGCTGTTGAGTTACTTGCTGAACCTTTACTTGCGGAGTGTTTTTCTGGTTCCCTGACACCTTGTTCTTTTTTTAACTTGGTGTATATATGTGGGTGGGTGAGTGGGTGAGTATGCACACATGGATGTAGGTGCTCTCGGAGTCCAGAAGAGGGTTCCGATCCCCTAGAGCTAGAGTTAGCGATTGTTGTGAGCTGCCCAGTTTGGGTTCTGGAAACTGAACTCAGGTCTCTGTATGCACTCTTAAAGGACGAGCCATCTCTCCAGCACACACAGTGTTTTGAAGAGTTTTAATTTTAGTCATGTGTCTGTATCTGTGTGTGGGGACTTAGCTACGGTGTCGTCTCTGTAAGGCTCGCATACCATTCACTGTGGTACTCCGTAGTGATTAAAGTCAAGACCGAATCAGCTTGTGTGTGTGTGTGGGCTAATAATGGCGGGGATAGTGAAATTAGCTATTCAGTCAGCTTGTTAGATAAAGGTGAACAGGGCTGGGGAGATGGTTCAGTGGTTAAGATCATTGACTACTCCTAGGGGTCCTGAATTCAATTCCCAGCCACCACACAGTGATTGGTGACTCACAACCATCTATCATGGGCTCTGCTGCCCCCTTCTGGCAGGCAGGTGAACATGCAGACGGCACTCATGAAGACATGGTTTAGGAAGGTGACGAGGAGCCTAGCTGGAGTCTGCACATAGACTCACCTCAAACAGCTATCCCTTTGTAACAGGGCCGTGCTGTAACACGTGTGTGCTGAAATAAATGAGGAGGAGGTCGGGAGTAGCAGCTCTAACACGCCAGATTCCAGATCTGAGACTCAGGCTTGCTCTCAGGGCTATTGATATGGGCAGGAATCCAGCCAGCTCGGTGAGACCCACTGGGAACAGCTTGGATGTCTGAGGTGAACTGAGTACTGGATGGAGAACATAGAAGCCAGCCTATGGCAGACTGTGTTGTGATCCAGAGAAACAGCTGAGAGCCAGCTCTGTGAAGAGAGCAATGGTGCCAGAAGCTTCTAACCACGCTGTCAACTGTTGTTCTAATTTTAGTTTTTGTTTTCATTTATTTATATTTCATGCATTGGTGTTTTGCTTGCATGTAAGTCTGTGTGAGTGTGTCAGATCACCTAGAACTGGAGTTACAGTCATGACCTGCCGTGCGGGTGCTGGGAATTGAACCTGGGTCCTCTGGAAGAGCAGCCAGTGCTTTTCCGCCAAGCCATCCCTCTGGCTTGTTTTTGTTTTCTCTATGCACTTGGTTTATCTTTCTGAATCTATGCTGTGTTTTCAGCACTACTCTAAAGTTGCAAACTCTTCTGAAATATGATTGCCTTTTATAATGCCTGTATAGTTTGTGTTTAATTTCTGTCTTAGCTGTTATCCATTGTTTTTAGACACTTGGCTTCCTGTGGTATACTGATGAACAGAGCGCTTCCACCGCATGCCTCAGCTCGGCCTAAAGAGATCCACGCAAGAACATTCTTCAAGATGACTGTGCCACTAGTAAATAAACGGAAAGAGTATTCAGAGAGAAGGATTATCGGGTTTGTATAGAATAGTGGTTTTATTAAAGGCATACTTCTACTTTTCTCTGGAGTGGCATGCAGCTTTCTCTCTGGATTGTCTTCCTGTAGATCAAACTGCTTTTAACCTGTCTACAACCCTGACTGATTTATACATATTTTTGAAAGACTGTAATATTATATTAACTGTATAGGATATAATTAACATGTAAGATTTATTTATTAAATATGCAGTGGTCTGCCTGCATGGATGATTGCAGGCCAGAAGAGCATGCCAGATCTCGTTACAAGTGGTTGTAAACCACCATGTGGTTGCTGGGAATTGAACTCAGAACCTTTGGAAGAGCAGGCTCTTAACCACTGAGCCATCTTTCCAGCCCTTGTTTGTTATTCTTTCATGATTATAAAGATTAATTAAAACATGAAGGTGCTGGGCAGTGGTGGTGCACACCTTTACCAGCACTTGGGAGGCAGAGGCAGGTGAACCTCTGTGAGTTCAAGGCCAACCTGGTCTACAGAGCTAGTTCCAGGACAGCTACAACTGTCTCCAAAAATGCCTCCCTCTTTTGGCGGTGAATTTCAAGACAGGGTTTCTTTGTGCAGCCCTGGCTGGCCTCGAACTAGGAGATCTGCCTGCCTCTGCCTTCTGAGTGCTGGGGTTAGTAAAGGTGTGCCACCCCCACTCCGCCCAAAATATCCTTTTGTAATTTGTGATTAATGATAATTTTATGGTGGGTTATATTTTAACTGTGTTCAGGATCTATTTATTTATTTTGGTCTTGAGACAGGGTTTCACTCTGTAGCATTGACTAGCCTGGTACTTGCTAAATAGCTCGAGCTGGGCGTGAACTCTTGGCGATCCTCCTCCCAGAGTCTCTTGAGTGTTAGGGCTGTAGGCATGTGCTCCATGCCTCCCTTGCCTTTATGAAAAAGAATAGTAACTGTCTGGTTCTCAGCCAGGTTGCCTTTTACATATATTCAAAGAGTTTCATTTTTGTTATTTGGTCATTTTTCTTAGTCAGTGTTCTGTCGCTGTGGCCAAGGCAGCTCTTAAAAAAGAAAGCATTTAATGGGGTGGGGGGGCAGCTTACATTTTCAGAGGGTTATTAGTCCATTATCATCATGGCGGGCATGGTGCTGGAGAGGTGGCCAAGAGCTACATCCCAGTCTGCAAGTAGAGAGAGAGAGCCCATGCCTAGCCCCAGTGACACACTTCCTCCAGTAAGGTCACACCTACTCTTAACAAGGCACCTTACCTCCTTATTGTTCTGTTCCTTCTCAGTGCCACTTCTTGATGACTAGGCATTCAATGCCTAGTATGAGTCTATGGGGACATTAGTATTAAATCCCTGTAGTCACTGTGACCTCCCATGTGTGTTTGCAGTCCTTTATTTTCTTTATCTCTCTTTTTAAGATACTCAATGCAAGAAATGTATGATGTGGTAGCAGGAATGGAAGATTATAAGCATTTCGTCCCTTGGTGTAAAAAATCAGATATACTATCTAGGAGAGCTGGGTATTGTAAAACTCAATTAGAAATTGGGTTTCCACCTGTTTTGGAGCGATACACATCAATCGTAACCTTGGTCAAACCACACTTAGTAAAGGTAAGTTTGTTGTTGTGTTTGGTTTTCTTTTAATATGCCCTAGATGTTTATTATACTAAATGAGTTAAATCATGTGTAATTGCTTAAAAGATCCTTGTAGTCTGCGGAGGGGAGCCATTTATTGTGTCCTGATTGTGTTCATTACATAGCATCAGCATCATTCTCTCCAGATGGAAGCTTGAGCTTTTCTTCTAAAGACCACAGAACTACAGGAGCGGGAGACACTTTCATCTTTGCACTCTTAGATAGGGTACGGTAGCACACGCTGCAGTCCTGACAGGGTACCGTAGCACACGCTGCAGTCCTGGCAGTAAAGGTGCTTGGCAAGTGGATTATGAATTTTAGGCTACCTGGGCTGCAAAGTGAGCCTATCTTTACAAAAAAGAAAGAAGGGAAAGAAAAATTGATACATTTACTATTTTCAGCATATAGCTTTACCACTGGAAAAAGATCAAATTGTGTAAGGTGCACACACTTCTCTTTTCTTCCCGAGACAGGATTTCTCTGTGTAACAGCTCTGACTGTCCTGGAACTCAGACCAGGCTGGCCTCGAACTTAGAGAGATCCGCCTGCCTCTGCTCCCGAGTGCTGGCATTAAAGGCGTGCGCCACCACCGCCCCAGGCACACTTGTTTTTGAAGTTTGGGGAGAAGTGGTAAGACAGTGAGAGGGTCCAGGAAGCTCGAAGGAGAAGCTTGGAGCGGATGGCTCAGGGTTCAGCTGCTCTTTCAGAGGACTTGGTTCAGTTCCCAGCACCAACATGATGGCTTGCAGCTGGGATCTGGTACCTCTGCTTACTTCTGTGGATACGGGGTATGCCTGTCCTGCACAGTCATTGAGGCAGACGAGCCAGTTTGCCCTAGAAATATGTACCAGATACTTTATGAACATATCGGCCATTTCAGAGTGATGGTATAAAGTATGTTACCTTACAACTTAAAGAAATGCAATGTAAAGCAGAGTGTTGGTGGCGCACGCCTTTAATCCCAGCAGAGACAGGTGGATCTGTGTGAGTTCTAGGCCAGCCTGGTTTACAGAGTGAGTTCCAGGACAAACTCCAAAGCTACAGAGAAAGCCTTTCTTGGAAAAGAAAAGAAATGTGTAGTATTTAACTTGTACAGGGTCTCCTGTAAGTAGCAGAACTGGAAATGAGGTTTTTAAAAAAGTACTCCTTGGGGCTGGAGAGATGGCTCAGAGGTTAAGAGCACTGACTGCTCTTCTAGAGGTCCTGAGTTCAATTCCCAGCAACCCACATGGTGGCTCACAACCATCTGTAATGAGATCTGGTGCCCTCTTCTGGCCTGCAGGCATACATGGAGGCTGAACACTGTACATAATAAATAAATCTTTAAAAAATAAATAAATAAATAAATAAGTACTCCTTGGAGCTGGGGGATTGCCCATTTGGGAAAGTACTTACTGTGTGCTTGCTTAAGGCTTAAGGCCCTGAGTGTGGCTCCCCAGTCCTGGAGGGCAGGGGCAGCTCATTGGTCAGCCAGCCTAGCAAGATGGATGAGGCCAGGTTCAGGGAGGCTGTTTGCCACACTTGTTGCTGTGGCCGGGCACCTGACATGAAGCCGCATAAGGAAGCAGGGCCTATGCTGGCTCACAGTTCAAGTGAGCCTTTCATTATGGTAGAGAAATGGCAGCTGGTGAGGTCATGGGGGCGGAAGCTTTGGTCCGCTGACCACACTGAATCTACACTCAAGAGTCAGGGCGGTGGATGCTGGTGCTTCGCCGTGCCTGTTTCTTTTGTGCGGGCACCGGTTGTGGGAGTCATGCCGCCCACATTTAGGGTGGACCTTCCTGTGGACCTCATCCCATCCTAATGCTGTGTAGACACCAGAGATTGGTCTACATCACAGAGACCCAGGCTCAGAAAGATGGCTAGTGACTGAGGACCTGTGGTCAACACATGTGAGCAGTTACCCCCCGCAGACTGATCTGTCGGTAAAGAAGTGCGGTCCAGGAGAGCCAATAGTCCAAGAGAGTAGCAGGGTGGGTGAGCGCACACCAGGGAACAGCTGGCAGTGCGGAGTCACGGGCAGAGAAAGTGACTCCTTGTTCCAAGCTACTAGCCGTCTTCATCTCTTTTATTCTGAGCTGATAAAGATAATTATTTCTCAAGGAAATAAGCCCCAGTCGTGGTAGATTCTTGCTCATATGAAAGATGTTTATTTTTTCTTTCCATTTTGTTTTAGGCATCTTGTACCGATGGGAAACTTTTCAATCATTTGGAGACGATTTGGCGTTTTAGCCCAGGTCTTCCTGGCTATCCGAGAACTTGTACCTTGGATTTTTCAGTAAGTCTGTTATAAGGTTCTTGTTTATAGTGTGTGTGGCACAGCACGCAGGGAGAGGCTGGAGAGCAGCTTTCAGGGGTCTGTTCTATCCTCCTGTTCTGTGGGTCCTGGGAATTAAACTCCGATCACCGGGCTTGGTGGTAAGTGCCATCAGACCATCTTGCCAGCCTCAGTTTATGCATTGTTTGAGGCACGGTTTTACTCTGTAACCTGGGCTGGACTGTAGCATGGATAATAAAAATCCAGAGACAGATACTGGGGTTCCAGATGATGATCAGAAAAGCAAAGTGGCCGGCCACTGGCTCTTACCTCTACCTCAGCCCGAAATGGGCGATCCTGTGCTTCTACATAGCCTCGAACTGAGACTGACCCGAGACCTGTCTCCTCCTGTCTTACATTTCTCTCTAGTGCTGGGATTAAAGTCATGCACCACACCGCCTAGCCTCTATGGCCAACTAGAGTGGCTGGACCACAGTTTGCTCCACAGCCTGGACTGGCCTCAACTTCACTATCATCTCTCGGCCTCGCAGATGCTAGGATTATAGCAGATATTGCCACTCAAAGCTAATAATGCCCTTTTCTGGTTGTTTGATTGTTTTGTTGTGTTCTAGCTGCCCTAGAACTTGCTTTGTAGACGAGGGATCAAGCTCACGGAGACGTCCTGAGTGCTGGTATTAAAGGCATGCACCACCACTTCCTGGCTCCAGTACTTATTTTGAATGAAGTCATGATCATGTTTCAGGATGACTTTCTTAGTGAAGCAAAGTGTATTTTAATTTTCAACATTAGGGCAATAGAGATTCCAAAGTTGAAAAGCCATTAGATACACAGTATGTTTCTACATCCCCAGACCTTTCAAAAAGGCCTTGCACTCGCTGTAGCCCAGGCAAGCCTTGAGCTTGGATCTCCCGAATAACTGGAATTACAGACCTATAACACCTTGGCTAGCTTTACCCAGCCCTTTATTTCTACAGCCCAGGCTGTCCTGGAACTTGCTGTATATACCAGGCTAGTTTTAAATTCCCAGTACTCCTGCCTCAGCCTCCAGAATGCTAGGGGTGTAAGTGTGTCACTGTGTCTGGCAGATATGTGTAAAATAATGTCTCACATTTCCTTACAGATTTCTTTTGAATTCCGCTCACTTCTGCATTCCCAGCTTGCTACATTGTTCTTTGATGAAGTTGTGAAACAAATGGTAGCCGCTTTTGAAAGAAGAGCGTGTAAATTGTACGGTCCAGAAACAAGTATACCTCGGGAGCTGATGCTTCATGAAATCCACCATACCTAAAATGAAATACGAACCGGCACCACCTTCTTTGACTCGTTTGTTCTGTTTAGGAAGTCCCTTTACTGTCTGTTCCGAAGTCAGAAAGCATCTGTTAAACCTGCCTGGATCTTAAGCCTGTTCCACTGAAAATTTGTACATTGAATACGGACCCACCTGTACATAGAATTATTTCTTCAATCAAGTGCAACTCAAAGTAATGTGTACATTTGCAGGTTCTGCCTTTGTATTAATGGTGCCATCACTGTTGCTAGGATATCCCATCCCTCACTTGAGGGCAGTGAAACAACCCCTTACATGAAAGGTTAGCTGAGGTAGAATGTGTTACATTAACCACATCATGTTTAAGTTATTAGGTTCAGAGGATTTGTAACTTATTGTTTTGGGGCCGGCTATACGGCTTAGGATATTTGAGTGATCATATATTTAATGTTAAAACTTTGATTTAAAGAACCGCTAATGAAGTCTTAGCGCTTTGGGTAGTTTAAGTTGTTCTGCGAATAGCAGTGGATAATTCAGTGTTGTTGGGAAGCTGCTTCCCAGAGACACGGAGTCGCTGTTTGTTTTGTTTTTCATGTTTTTGGTGAGTGGTCCAGAGCACCAAGCTAATTCCCAGACATTCGAAACCTCCCATTGGTGCTCGCCTGCACTTTGAGAATGCTGATGGCCCATCAGGATCTGGTCTGCCACGGTAGGCAGCAGGTAGCGACAGTGATGGCCCGTCAGGATCTGGTCTGCCACGGTAGGCAGTAGGTAGCGACAGTGATGGCCCGTCAGGATCTGGTCTGCCACGGCAGGCAGCAGGTAGCGACAGTGATGGCCCGTCAGGATCTGATCTGCCACGGCAGGCAGCAGGTAGCGACAGTGATGGCCTGTCAGGATCTGGTCTGCCACGGTAGGCAGCAGGTAGCGACCGTGATGGCCCGTCAGAATCTGGTCTGCCACGGTAGGCAGCAGGTAGCGACAGTCGCCAGTCCCCCAGCACTGCACCCCCCGTTTTCTATTTATTGTGCGTGTTCACTTGCAATGATATTCTAAACTGATATTTTTTTAAACAAATCAATGTAAGTACTGAAGCCATGGCTTAATAAAGTTAATTTGTTTATTTTTGTATAGTGACTTTGATTTAAATCTTTTCTGTATTGCTTCAGTGTGTATTCTGACAGGTGGCCTAGTTTCCCTGTTTCCTACTTTCCCTGTGGCTGTTGTAAACACCACGAGCCAAAGCACTTGTGGGGAGTGTGTTTAGTTCAGGTCACAGGTCACAGTATCCCGGAGGAAACAGGGCTAGAGGTGGGGGCTAAAAGAGGCCAAGAATGCTGCTCCTGGCCTGTTCCCAGACTCTCCTGCCCCGGGGGTGACACCACCATAGTAGCTTGGTCCTCCTCCATGGAAAACAGTCAAGAAAATGTCTCACAGACGTACCCACAGGCCAATCAGATGGCAGCAATTCCTCAACTGATCCCGTCTTTCCAGGTGACTAAGTGCTGGGAAGTCTTCCTGTATATGTGTTGATCCTACTGGTTAATGAATAAAGAAGCTGTCTTCGGCCTGCACAGGGCAGAATATAGGTAGGCAGGGAAAACTAAACTGAATGCTGGGAGAAAGTAGGTGAATTCAAAGAGCCCGCCAGAGACTTTACCTGGTATGCCACAGCCTCGTGGCGGTACACAGATTAATAGAAATGGTTAAATTAAGATATAAAAGCTAGCCAATAAAAAGTTAGAGCTAATGGGCCAAGCAGTGATTTAATTAATACAGTTCCTGTGTGGTTATTTTGGGTCTAGGCTGCCAGGGAAACAAACAAGTGGCTCCTTACAACTTGGTGCCTGTTGAGCTGAGAGCTGTAGCCGCAGAAATACAGGACTATAGGATTTCATGTCTTAGAAATACTTTCATGGGGCTGGAGAGATGGCTCAGAGGTCAAGAGCACTGGTTGCTCTTCAGAGGTCGTGAGTTCAATTCCCAGCACCCACATGGTGGTTCACAACCATCTGTAATGAGATCTGGTTCCCTCTTCTGGCCTGCAGACATACATGCAGTTAGAACACTATACATAATAAATCTTTAAAAAAATCACTGTCATGGGTGCAGTGTTTATCCTCAATTTGATTCTCAGCATTGCCAAAACAAAAAACCTTCCATATAGACTGAATTTGAACTACTCATTCTGTCTTTTTTTTATTTTATTTTTTATTTTTTTATTTTTTATTTTTTTTGGTCTTTGAGACAGGGTTTCCCTGTAGCTTTGGAGCCTGTCCTGGAACTAGCTCTTATAGACCAGGCTGGCCTCACAGAGATCTGAACTCACAGAGATCCGCCTGCCTCTGCCTCCCAAGTGCTGGGATTAAAGGCGTGCGCCACCACTGCCTGACTTGTCACCTCTCCCTATTAAACTTGCAGCCATGGTGCCTCACTTGTGCTGTGGGGGATTTGCTCAGTGCATGGCTGAGTCCTGCCCTCTCAGGCACCGGCCGTGCGGCTGTGCGGAGCTCTTGCTTTCCACTCGTGGCTGTAGCTGTGCTTCTAACAAGTGAAGCAGGGTCTTTTGCACGTGTCCAGAGCAAAGTACTCTATGTATAACTACGTGCCTTGTATTTGATTGGAGTTTTTTTTTTATATATTTATTTATTATGTATACAATATTCTGTCTGTGTGTATGCCTGCTGGCCAGAAGAGGGCACCAGACCTCATTACAGAAGGTTGTGAGCCACCATGTGGTTGCTGGGAACTGAACTCAGGACCTTTGGAAGAGCAGGCAATGCTTTTAACCTCTGAGCCATCTCTCCAGCCCCCTTGATTGGAGTTTTGGTGTTTGGTTTAGTTCTGATGGTGTGTCAGCCCAGGCTGGCCTGGAACTCACTATGTGACATGGGAGATGCTCTCATGACTGGGGCTCTTATCCAGCTTTCTGCATGCTAATAGTATAGATGTGAGCCACCGTGCCTGCTTGGGTTCTTCTTGTTCCTTTTACGTGTTTGCGTGTGTATTTGGGTGCTTGTGTGCATGTGGTTTGCCATGTGGTTTGCGTGTGTGTTTGGATGCTTCTGTGCATGTGATGGTCAGCAGTTGACATTCCCTGAGGGTTCTTCATGCTGTTGCGAATCTGAAGCTCACTGATTCTGGCTGGTCTTATCAAGAGACCTAGTAGTTTTAGAAAGAGCAAGGCTTTTAATCCCAGCACTCAGGAGGCAGAGGCAGGCGGATCTCTGCGAGTTCGAGGTCAGCCTGGTCTACGAGAGCTAGTTTTGAGACAGTGAAACCCTGTCTCAAAAAACAAAAAAAGAGGTGGCTGGAGAGATGGCTCAGTGGTTAAGAGCACTGGCTGCTCTTCCAGAGGTCGTGAGTTCAATTCTCAGCAACCACGTGGTGGCTCACAACCATCTGTAATGAGATCTGGTGCCCTCTTCTTGCATGTGGGCATACATGGAAGGCAGAATGTTGTATGCAAATAAATAAATAAATCTTGAAAAAAAAATTAAAAAGAGAGAGAGAGAAAGAAAAAAGAAAGAAAAAGCAAGGCCTTTTTAAAATTTTACATATAAAATGAACTAACAAACTGGCTATTGCCTTGTGGAATATCTAGTTGTCTGCTGCTGCCAAGTTGACAAAGTTATAGCTGGCCTCGCCATCGATCCTATCAGAGATCCAAGAAGGATAACTTATACCTGAGTGCAGACCAAGCAGCTTCCGAATCTATTACAAAAGCCAGAGACCAGTCCACACCCAATTAGCCACCCCAGGCTCCCGTGGTCTCCATAGTATCAGAGGCAGCAGTATCAGGACAGCTTCGTTCGACTGCCAGGCCCATAAGTTGAGAGTTTCCTATGGAGGAGGTAGGAACATGGGGAAGACCAGCCTTACTTTGTCTAGGCGAGGGGCAATCAATTCTCCAGCATCCTGCTGTCCACTGTCTCCAAAGGATTCTGGCGGCAGGTGTTGCATTGGGGCATCATGTCCAGTGGCCAGTGTTACAGGCCGGGTGGAGTCTTCTTCCTGGAGACCTTGGAAATCACTGCTAGGAGCTGAGAGTGTCTGATACAATAAACTTTTTTAAACATCTTAAATGCCATATTCTGCAGACATCCGAAGTGTTTGATGATTGTCTGGGTGCTGAGAGCTGCCGTGAGAGTATACAGCAGGTGACAACTAGTGTCCAGCAAGTCGCCCCACCGGATGAATGACTGATGGGGATCCCCGCTTGGAAAAGCCATGGAGTTACTGATTCAATGACCGGTTGCTTCTGGCTGTAATTTCTCTCTGCTGCTGCCACATTCCTTCCCTCATAACAGCTATGGGTTTCCCCACTGCTGGTGTGTTTATCTCATAAAATATTCCATCTGTTGGGCACGTCTATAGCTGTGGGGGTCAGGAAGATGATTTCTGCTTAAACTCTATAATATTGATAGATAGAAATAATACCAGGAAATCTTTTACTATTCAGACTGACATAGGAAAGTAGTAGTATTCTCCATCACAAAGACAGCTTGTTTTACACGTCAGAACAAATTCAAAGCAAACTGCCCCTAGAGACGAATATACAAGGTCATTTTCCCAGGTGTTTATTGCTGATTAAAGGTCAGAGCTTGAAACAACTTTAGTATACCTAACTTTCTCAGCAATCGACTTTGCTGTGTGTACTCCCGACCTCAAGGTTCAGCCAACTAACTGTCTATAGTTTAAATCCTGAATTTTTTTTAAAGATTATTTATTTATTATGTATACAGTATTCTCAGTATGTACGCTGCAGGCCAGAAGAGGGCACCAGACTTCATTACAGATGGTTGTGAGCCACCATGTGGTTGCTGGGAATTGAACTCAGGACCTTTGGAAGAGCAGGCAGTGCTCTTAACCACTGAGCTATCTCTTCAGCTCCTAAATCGTGAATTTCAATGTCACTTTTCTGTCTGGGAAAGAGCTCTGTGCACCACCAAGGGTCACTCACTGGCGGGTCAGTGTGTCCTCCCTAGCCTGAGGGAAACTGTGACTCATCCTGTGTTGCCAGAATGGGTTGGGGCCTGAAGATGGTTGTCCAGAGTTAGGCTGAGAGAGGAGGTTTGCAGAGCTATGGAGAGGAGCAAGAGAGTCTTTTCAGAGAGTATTTTCTTTACAAGATGAAATAAAAGAGAAAGCACCGGTGTTTCCTTAGTTTTCCCCTCAGATAGAAAAGCCTAGTGCTCACCACATTCATGGATGTTTTTGCATCCCCTGGAGCTACTGAAGGCTGACCCTCCAGTTAGCAACATCTAGGTATATCTGAATAGACAAACTTTGTTTCTCATTACTTGTTTTTTATTTATTTATTTATTTATTTATTTATTATGCATACAATATTCTGTCTGCGTGTATGCCTGCAGGCCAGAAGAGGGCACCAGATCTCATCACAGATGGCTGTGAGCCACCATGTGGTTGCTGGGAATTGAACTCAGGACCTTTGGAAGAGCAGGCAATGCTCTTAACCACTGAGCCATCTTCTCCAGCCCCTCATTACTTGTTTTAAGCTTAACTTCAAAAACATACACAGGAGACTAAGCCAGGCTTATCCCTGTAATTAATTATATCATTACTTAGCATGGCTACAATTAAAGAACTTGATCACTTGTAAGATGGCTGACTATTGTGCTCCTTAATCTACGATAAATTAACAGCTCTCATGAGACAGGGACTTGACGTTCCATTTCTGACGGCTTTAGCCCTAAAAATAACAATTTTGAGTTGAAGCTCTTCTAGTGTCAAATTTAAACTTTTTGATCATATTTATCAAACCTATGTTCTCAGTTTTCTAATTCTCTAGAAGCTTGGTGTTGACCAATGGGCAAAGCCTTAGGTGCAGGGGACTGGAGAGGCGGCTCAGCAGTGGAGAGCAGTGGCCGCTCCTCCAGAGGTCCTGAGTTCTATCCCCAGCAACCACACGGTGGCGCCAGCCATCTGTAATGGAACCCAGTGCCCTCTGCCGAGCAGAGAGACATGCAAAAGAGCATTCGTATACACATAATTTTTTAAGTAAGTAGGTGTCAATCTCTAAGTCAGCTTTTGTTGCTTTTGTTAATCTGAATAGACCTTCATAGCCGTTAATTTGTATCACCAAATAGAGTATATTCTAAAGCACAGTT